AGTTTCAGGGTATGTTTGAGGGAGGACACCCCCCTTAATAATTTTTTTAGAATATTTTTAAAAATATATTAAAAAGCTTTTAAGAAACTCTAAGAAAAAAAACCTAAAAATATTTATCAGATTATTTTGAAAAAAATTATGCCTAGAAGCAATAGTTTTTGATTTATCAAAATGTTCTAAAAAATCTTTATAAATATATTTACAAAAAAATATACGTATGAGTTTAGGAAATATGATTGAAGAGTCTATTCATAAACGTTTTAAAAAATTTTAAAAAATATATTAAAAAAATTTCGAAAAGTTTAACAAAAAAATTAAAAATTTTTTTACAAATAATTTTCAAAAAACTATATTTCTAAAAAGCCTTCTTTTATCATTTATTAAAATTTTTTAAAAAGTATTCTGTATTTCCAAACAAATCATTTTTGTGGAACTCACGTATGTTTTCGAAGAAAATAGTGAGTGTAAGTTTTCAGTTCGAGGTTGGTGGCTTCCCTCCTCCGCCCCCCATCCCATTATAGACCTTGGCAACTTCGTGAAAAAAAAATTCTGTTCGAAATTGAAAGATAAAAACATAGCATTTTCTAATAATCGATTATCTTTAGAAAAGAACTATTATCTTTTGAAGATTTAAAATATTGGGTATTTTGTCATTAGTATCATGAAACCAAAGGAGATATGTGAGTTCCACATTTCAGTCCCAAAGGGGCTGCACTAACAAGCTTTTTTAAATGCATATTATTTATATTTTTTCATGAGAACCAAAAAGGTAATAATAATTTTTTGAATCTTAATTTTATTTCGTAACCATTTTCCTATAACATTTCGTTTCGATTTAAGGAGTGTTTTTGACTTTAACTTAGGAGCGTAAAATTGGTCGAATGGATAATATCTTGGACTATCACCATATACATCGCCGGATCGGGTCTAGGTCAACGCACTAATTTGTGAAAGCATTAACTATACCCAGGCATACAAACTACAAAAAGCATGTTAAAACGCATTGTAAAGTTGAACGAAACACAAGTCGTAAGAAGCGCACCTGTTTCGGACTTTTTTCGTTAAAGTTTATTGGTGCGTATCTTTGCGTTCAAAACTTTAATGCGTTAAAACGTATTAAAAAAGCTTGTTAGCGCAGCCCCTTGGGGCTGAATTGTAGAACTCACGTATATTCTTTAGCTTCATTATACTAATATGCAATATAAATATTATAAAATCACGAAGTTTTTAATTTTCTGACAGGTGCTCTTATTTTTCGTCTTCTTTATTCCTATTCACTCAGTATTTTTCATTTTTAACACTGCTTTTTTTCTTTAATTTTACATTTTTATTACAAGAAGCATTGAATTATATGACGAATAAAGTTGTTATACATATATATGTATATGTATATGTATATGTATATTCATTATTTTAAACCTAGTCGCTAAGGTCTGTAATGGGGGCTTACGTTGCTATGGTCTGTAATGGGGGATATGTCAGTAATGTTCTCTTCCGTTGCTATGGTCAGTAATGGGGGCCTGTCTGTAAGGAGGGGGGAGGAGCCGCAAAACCTCGAACTTAAAACTTACACTCACTATTTTCTTCGAAAATATACGTGAGTTCCACAAAAGCTTTAACGAAAAGAAAATCCGACAAATGTGCGGTTTTTACGATTTTTTACGCTTGAAAATTTCGCAACATTTTTGTGCGTTTTTTTATTGTTTGTCTGACTGTATGAAGAAAAGAATTTTGTCTGTCGGTTAATCAGTTTTGATACTCACTCTGTAGGAAGAATACTGAAGAGCCGTGATCAACGTTAGAATTTTGTCTTACGTTGTTGACTGTGACAAGCGACATTCGAAAAGTAGACTGAGTAGTATAATACTTTTCTGATTATATTATGAGCAACGACGCGGCCTTATCAAAATAAATTCATCATATATGTAGTTAATGATTTATTTTATTGTATGTCAACTTTACTATTCTCATATTTATGATCTGCATTTGAAGCTTTTGTTCTATCTACGATGTAAATTATACGTATCAGAAGAAATTTGAAGTGTGGGACGTAAGGTAGATTTTATGATCTTTTTATATGCATGTGCAACATTTGTGCTGATAGCGTCTGTGTCTCTTTCATACATGTTACGACCTTAATCTCGAGTATTATACTGTAGAAGAAAAAGAGAACAATTTGTACAATCGTTGTAACAATCATTTTTGAAATATTAGGGTAGGGTATTGTGTTAATAGTGTAGGTATAGAGGTGAGTGAGTGAAGAGAAGATCTACTTCCACTCACCAACTCATCCTCACCTTCACTTACATACACTCAAATTGCAATGCTGATCTGTGCCGATACAGCTGTAGCTCTCGCGAAAAGGTTTTTGAGACTCTTGTAGATGCATCAACGCATGAGCATTCTTTTGGAATGATAAAACTAAAAAATCCTAACTCATCATGGGGCTCGTAGGCTGTCAACTTCTAAATCCTACATCGTTGTAAAAGTATTTAAATGCTGAACCGTTTTTAATGGACTTTCAATATTTTCGACTAAGTTGTTCTTTCAGATATTTTTATGTTGATCGATGCAATGCTAAACGAGATTTTCGAAAACGAGCTCATTATGGTAAGATCGTGTAGCTCCAATTGATATTTCTTCGAAAAGTACTCAAAGAATGTGAGATATCAATAGGTGAGAACGATTCTCTGCAACTTTGTGAAGGCTTTGCACATCATGGCGCAATCTAGTCTACCTAGCCCTATTGTAAAAAATTTCTTCCCTCGATGTTTTGAGATATACGTCTCCTCGAACCGTTAAGTGATCGATTCCTGTAGAAATTTACAGAGACGTCGGATTCAGATGTTAGCAACTTTTCGTTGATAACTTCTCCTAAGCTTCTTTGGTAGGTTTCAGGGCTCTAAATTGGCCGCCCTATCTGATCGCCCAGCCCTATCCAAAGAGATTTTTCTCTCAGGCCGGATGAGCCATGCTTTTTGTTGGGCTTGCTTGGTTCGACATTTTTGTCCTTTTCTTTCCTTTTTCACTTTTTACCAAACTTTGTGTCTATTTTAATTATAAGCCTTATTGACAAAGTCTTACGACAGAAGAATGATGTGGGTTTCAAGGGCACTTAGTATAACAAACTGTAGTAATTGCTTAAATCCATCGCATCTCTCATTCACATGTCATGTTCTCTAGTGTATAAACTACTTGAGTTGGTATAAAAATGTGATTGATAGAGAACATGTGTCGAAAATAAACCATCGTTGAGACTAGAAGCCGAAAACAACGTTTTACCGAAGTCTTCAAGTTTGATTAACGAGTAAATTCATGGAAAGCATAGCGATTTCTGGAAAAAGAGCAATCATATGAATTTTGTGCCATTTTTCCGAGTTAGGTGGCATTCAGTCGAAAATAGTATGTGAACGAGAAGAAAAAAGTTTCGATATCTAAACTATGGAGATCTGAATGAGCTTGACTTGCAGACTTTAGGTATCAAAAGTATTTTCGAACACGTATTCCCTCACTAGATAGTCCAAATCGAAAAAGACTTTCATTTGAACATGTGATCTACTGCCTATGGGTTTATTCAGTAAAAAATCTGTGCCGTAGGACATCGGGTTATGCATAGTGACTGTTATTGGGTTGATATACTCTTCATCATATTTTATTTGTTCATTTTATTCAACGAGCGACGAGCCTTATCTTATATTGTTTTTTTTTCAATTTCGACATTTCGGCTTAATCAAACTCATCATAACACCAGCCATTTGCTCTCCAGTACACTGGTAATTATCCAAATGATCTTTAAATTATATTGAGAAAAAGCTTTTTTGAATGAAATTTTCTTCGTTTCCGAGTCGGGCTGAACGGAAACAGAAAACTCGACGAGCTAAATCGGGTCGCACCGGGCTGCATTAAAGTTGAAACGAGCTGGAGGGCTTAAACAATACCCAGGCTACTTTGAATCGGATCGAGTGATGAAAAAAGCGGCCCCTTTCGAGCCGTGACAGGTTTCATAGTTTTCCGAGAAACTTTTTAGACATGAGTCTCGTGAACGATCAAGGGAAATCCAAATATAAAATCTTCAAGAGGAGGTTGAAGGTGGCGGGATCTCGAGAGTCCTCTTAAGTGAATATTCATTGTATGCATGAATTAACCTATGTGATATTTTGTGTGTGTCGACATTGATTTCGATGAATCCGGTTTCAATCCAGTCGATTCAGGTCGGATCGGGCGTCAGCGCAACATGTCTACAGGTGGAATGCGGGTTGAAGTATGAGCTTCCGTTGGTAATATCATACGACATTTTGAAGTACGACATTCTTGTCCGTTTGTCCGGAACGTCATTTTTTTCAGAACTCATTTTTTGAATGATCGAACGAATCGTTGTACGATTCCGTTTCTGACTGGGTGACATGGTGCCTTCATGAACCGTTAGATGCTCTACTTTTTTGTAAACTAATGAGTTCCGGTGTCCTTTCATTAGAATGTAATGCTCACTCTTTGTTTCCAATAGTCTCTTTTGAATTAGACAATTTTTTCTATGATATGATATATTTGAAATTTTTCATATTCTTTAGCTTCTCAGATATCTCTATATTCAATAGAGGGAATAGCAGCTTTTCTGTACTTATCACTCAAAGTAGTAGAAAGGTTGTTCATAAAGAAGATTACTCATGACTCATGAAAACATGTTTCACCTCCTTTTATCTTTCACTGTAGCCATTATGCAAACATCAAAACGCCTCCTTCTTGCACTTGCCTCACTGATTTTCATGATTATTATTTTAATATTCAATCATTTCGATCATTGTCGTTTCACGAATGCAATAGTGCAGAAAATATTGTTGACCACGAGAAAGCAGTTAACTATTTTTGACAACTCAAATACAACGGCAAAAGCAAGTCAATCGGTCGGCTTCTTTGTCTATTCTCTTGATTCGCAATGTGAGATAGAAAGTAATGATTCGTTGGCTTTAAGTCGTACTGAAAAATTTGACAAAATCTTTGATATGCGATACTGGGCATCCAAAGAGAGTCGCTCCGGATTAGGTTCGACGCTGGAAGGTGCTTTCGATTGGATTCGTCATTTGCGCTCATTATTTCATCATTTGCCCATTCGATCAGTTGCCGACATACCTTGTGGTGATACTTATTGGCAATTTAGTCTCCGAGAAATAAATACCATTGAACAGGTCTATTTCGGTGGAGATATTTCTCGAAAAGTCATCGAACTAAACCGACGATTATACCAATCATCACATCGTAATAAAATATTTCAACGTTGGGATATTGTTGGTTGTCCAATACCTACATTTACTATCATAAATGAAACACATCAAGTCAAAGGTAACGATGAATTTTATAGAAAAAAATTGCCGTCTTATTTAGACTATTTGGCATAGGCAACCGATTCGACTTGGTGATGGTCCGTGATGCTTTGCAGCATATGAATATACACAATGGTTTGAAAGCCGTAAAAAACATCGTCAAATCTGGTGTAAAATACTTTGCACTGAGTAGCTATCCACCTTCTGGACAGCCTTCAACAAATCGACGATCGCTGGAAAAGAACGAATCTTTATCGTTTACGTCATCTGTATGTAGAAACTACTGTGTTGTGGGTGCCATCACTGATGGAAGTTTCTATGCAAATAATATAAACTGCCCTCCATTCAATTTTCCACTTAACAAAGCATTACTTATTCAACCGTCTCATGAAAGATTCAAATTGGAACCCGACGAAATTCATATTTATGCAATTGACGATGAATTAAGAGAGATAGTTGATAAATATGATCAAGCATGTCGTTCATAGAGGAACTACAGGATTTTTTCAAAGTCCATCGGACAAACAAACACAAATAACTCTTCTACGATTCAAGCGATTTACGTCAACTTGTCATCATCTCATAGCATATTCTCTGCAGTTTTATTCCAATTACTGTTTGAATTTCGAAAGCATAAATCTTGAAAGAAATCTCGAAAGAAAAGTCTCAAAAAAGAGAGTGTGGGTGCGGGGTGTGGGTAGGGTATAAAGGCTCGTGTGAATGTGGGGGTGGGTGAAGTTATTCTGTTAGCCCGAACCCACACCCGTACTAATAATATAATTCTCAATAAAATTTTGAAAAGAGACGTCCATTCAATCATGCATATAAATGAATGCTCTGATGATGAAGTTTAATGATGCCAGAAATCAATGATTTTCAGTTTTTTTTGCTAAATCTGTTAATTTTTTTCTTTTTCGACAATTCAGTGAAAACTTCTCAATAGATTCAATTGAGATTAAACATGGCATCGTTTTGTTAATTATCGCAATATGAATTTTTAATTAGCTGTGTTTCATCATTATGACTGAGTTGGATGTGGATGTAGGCGTGCGTCTCAAGAAAAAATCCACACAGTCACGCCCACATACACAATAGTGCTACTTTCCACAATATTTAGCATACTAGAAACATGTAAAAGACATTTTTGTTTTACATGTATCTCATCTTCAGAAAAGGATAAAATGTTGAATTTTTGTAAAATAGACGCATTGTTAAAAGCTTTACAAAAAGTGTACAAATATTTTCCTACAGACATGCTTTGATCATTTTTCTTAATGGTTGAAATTGGATAAATATTTTTTTGAGCCCGCAATTAGAAACATTTGAGCCCT